GGGGGGGGGATTGGCATTGGCATGTATGTTGGCTTCTAAGGGCCGTGGTGTCTGGAAGGCGTTGTTAACGCTCTGTGCAGTGGCTGGAGGGAACTCTGGTGTGTCTAGGGTATAAGGTGCAGTGATGAGGGGTGGGGGTGGGGGTGTCATGAAGCGTGGGAGTCCCTGGGGTGTAAGGCTGAATGTTAGGAGGGTAGTTCTAGCAGAAGGCTCTTACCTGCTTCGAACCTGGGCAGGCTCCACATCAAAGTAGGGTCTCAGGATGTCAATGTTGGCGTACAAGCTGAAGGCCCGTGAGGCTTGCCTTTTCCCTGCCTGCCACATCTGAAGCAAGGAAATTGGGGTGGGGCGGGGCAAGAGATGGGGACTGTTGCCTATTTTCCCATTGGGTTTTTACATGGTTCTAACGGGATTCATTTGAGGTGGGCTTCACCAACTCCAGGACCTGGGTCCTGTCTAGATGAGATCTTCCCACATGCCAGGGACCCTGGCCCGCTTACCTGATCAGCCACCTGCCGGCTCAGCTGACCCTTAAAGCCCTTCATGCCCAAGAACTCGCCATCCTCCTCTTCGGCAGCAGCTGCATCTGCATCTACTTCTTCCTCACGCAGGCGCTGATGCAGCTCACCCATATCCTCAAAGCTGGAGCCGGAGGTATCGTCCATGTTCTCCATGTCAATCACGGCCGAGCCTCCACCCTGGGGAAACACCGGCTCTCAGGAGTGTGCGGCCCTCCCTTTGCTCTCCATCAGGTAAGCCCTCCCCTGCCCATCCCAGCAAGTGGGTTTTGTTCCTCCAGGGGCCAGGAGTGGGGCTGGCATCACCCCACATCTTGCCCCTGTGGTGCTCTCAGGACTGGGTCCTAGCTCGGGCTCTCTCTTCTAGCCTGGGAAACCATCTCTCTGTCTTCCACTCACGTCTTTCCTATCAAATTCTCAAAGCGCTGTGAAAGCGCCCATTTCCTTCAGCTTCCCTGGGCCCAGGGCGAAGCTGTGCATAGTGTCTCCAGCCAGCGCCAGCGGTTCTCCCTTCTCTCGTCATGCCGGCCAAGCTCCCAACTCGTCCCGAAAGAACAGCACCCTCTTCCTAAAGCCTCGGGCGGGCCCACAGGCCTGCGACCCTCCGGCAGGCGCATTTCTTGGGCCCTTTTAGGTCAGCACCCCACCCCACCATCTCTGTACGCAGACTCAGATGTGGGTAGTGTTGCAATTGGAGCGAGCGGGTCAGAGGGCAGACGCGGACTTCGAGGCCCCAAGGGAGAGTCCTTCAACACCTCCGGGCTGCTTTAAGGGGCTGCCGGCAGCCGGGGCCTTGGGGCCATTACCTGGATGTTTTCTTCGAACCCTCCCCATTCGGGGCCAGCCCCGTTTCGGGCGCCGCTGGCCGGCGCCGCCGTAGCTGCCATGTCCCTCGAGGGTTCCCGTCGCTGAAGCCCGCGCTACCCAGCGCGCGGAGAAAGGGGCGAGAGCAGAGCCCGGGGGAAGATGTCCAGGGTCGAGACGGGGAGACGGGACCCAGCCGGAACACCCACAGGAGGAACCCGGATGTTTGGCTCAAACTGACTGACGGAAGCTGGGGACGTGGACGGAGGCGGGGCAAACTCTCGCGATACTTCGATCGCGGCGCGAGTGCGTTACCAAGGAGACGGCGGCGCCTACCAGAGCGCGCGCGCGCGTTGGACGCCCTGGGGACGTCGTGCGCGGGAAGATGGCGGCGGCCCAGGCGGTGGACGAAATGCGGACCCGCGTGGTCCTAGGGGAGTTCGGCGTTCGCAACGTAAGTCCCCCGGCTTCGAGTGCGGCAGAGAGGAGAGCGGGACCGCGGGGAGTCGGGGTCGAAGGGGGGCCGGGCCGGGCTTCCTGCCCCCCTGCGGACAGACTCGCTTCTCGTTCTAGGTTCATACCACCGACTTCCCCGGTAACTACTCCGGGTATGATGACGCGTGGGACCAGGAGCGCTTCGAGAAGGTGAAGAGGGAGGAGTTGGCGGGAGGACGGGAGCGACGAGGGTCGAAGGTGGTGCGGACGCGGTGCCCACAGGGCCCGCCAGCTTCCGACGGAGCGTACGGCGTGAGCCCCGCTCCCGTGCCCGCCGCGCGCTCGGCGCTGCGTGCTCCGCATCGAAGCGGACACCGTTTGTGCCCAGGGCCGGGAGTGCGAGCTTCTCCCAGCGGGGCACACGCGCGTAACGCAGTGGTTGCAAATCCAGCCCAGCTAGGTGAGGGAGTCGTTGGCGACGGACAGCGGTGCGCTCGGGGGGAGGGGGTGGCAAGGAAGACTTCCCCTGAAGGTGGGGACGACGGAACGGGGCCTCAACGATGGCAGAAGTCGTGCCCAGCTAGTTCGAACGCACCGAGAACTCGAGCGACGTTGTAAGGGCGGGAGATGGGCGCCGGGCTCGGCGAGTCGGTTCAGTGCCGCTGGAATGCGGGGGGCCGGCCGGGCAGGGCGTGGTAGCAGGCCCCGTCGGGGGCAGGCAACGTGCGGGGGGTGGCGCTGACTTGAGAAGACGGGCAGGCACCCCTGGTCTTTGGGGGAGACTGACTCGGGGGAGATCACGTGGGGCAGGCAGGTCAGGTAGGAGAGCTGCCCGGAAAGGGGTGAATTGAGCAGAGGTGGGACAAAAAGTGAAACCCATGATTGATTTACCGAGGTGTGAGAAGGAAGCGCAGAGTAACCTGTAGCCTAGGATCTGCTGTGATGGACGGTGATGCCCTCGCCTTCTGAAGTGCATGGAGGCAGCAGAGAGGAGTGATGAGGCACTGAACTTTCTGCACTCGCAGTTTAGCAGGCTAGTGTTGTGTATGAAGGCGCCCTGGGGATGCAATGGTTAGGTGTCGGGTGAATTGCAAGGTCAACAGTTGGAAACCATCAGCCGCCATCGAGGCTTTCTATTCCCGTAAAGTTAGCCTTGGAAACCCACCTGCCCTCTAGGGTCGCCCTGAGTTGCCTCGCCCGATGGCAGTGAGGTTTGTTTGTTTTAGCATGTACAGGCAGATGAGGCTAAGTCAAGAAGGTTTCAGCTCGGGTCGCACATGCATGTGCTTATTCCAAACCAAGCCTGTTTTAAACTTGTTATTGCATCTGTGAGTGGTGGGTGGCTGTAGATGAGTTCTGGTAGTGGTAAACAAACAAACACGGCCATGGAGTACCACTCTACTACCAGGGCTCCTTGTCTTCATCTCCTTAAGGAGCTTCCAAAAAACAAACACCCAATCAAAACAGCTTCCAAAGGGATGACCAGGCCAGTTAATCAAGTAAGTTCAAGGTCAGTTCAGAAGGTTATGATTACTGTTTTGGGAATTCCCAAGGGGTAATCTTGGGGAGATTTTCTTAGGACACAGGAAAAATCAGGGGTGATTAGGAAGTTTTAAGTGAACACTGCATTGATGAGAAAAAGACCAGGAAAGTTATGCCTAGGAATCTTTTTTCCTATCATGCTAATCTTAATTTTGTCGGGAAACTTTACCCCATTCATCCTACAGTCTTGAGCATTCCCTTTTAGACATCTGTTTGTTCTGAAAATGAGAAGATGTTGTAAAGGAACTGGATTTGAGCCCCTCTAGGATCTCAAAATTGCTGTTTTGATGTGCAAATAAAAGTGCAGGCAAAGGTCAGAGAGCAAAATCCTGCCTTCAGAAGTGTAGCCCTAGAAGGATGTTGCATCAGTAGCTTCACATTTTGATCCACTACTAGCATTGCTCGTGTTTTCTAGCATTAGTTCCGGACTTACCCTGTTTCAAATGAGATTCGAAGTGAGACCTAATTATGGCAGTCGTTAGTGAAAAACCCATGCATAGTTGAGGTCACCTGAGAGACAAGAGCCCGGGCAATAGAAGTGCTTAGTGAATTTAGAAAAGGAGAGAACTAAAAGATTGGTGCTCAGAAACCAAGGGAGAAGAGTTTTTTAAAGGGATTTTATTATTAAAAATTCCAAACGTAGTAGAGGATTCCAGAGTGGGAAATGTAGTCATGACACTGGTCTGAGAACTATGGGAGTTAACGTTCTTTGGTTTGGCTGGAAGCAGAATACAGGTAGTACAGAATGAAAAGGAGGGAAAAAATGAGACTTCAAGAAAGGGCTGTGGGGAGGGTCAAAAAATGAGCTGACACCAAGGGCTCAAGTAGAGAGCAGGTGTTTTAAGAATGATGATGGCAAAATATGTACAAATGTGCTTGACATAATTGCTTTATTATGGATTGCGATGAGTTGTATGAGCCCCCAATAAAAGGATTAAAAAAAAAAAGGACTGTGGGGGCAGAGAGGCATCTGGGCATAGTGGAGGTGTTTCGATGAACCCACCCTCTGCTGTCAAGTCCATTCCGACTCAGAGTGACCCTGTGTGGGCTCTCCGAGGCTGTACATCTTTTGGGGAGCAGACAGCCTTCAGTTTCTCCTGAGGAGCTGCTGGTGGGTAGCTCTCTGGTCTCGCAGTTAGCAGCCCCACACATAGCTCACAGCACCACCAGGGCACCTGGATGAATTGAGAGGGTCACATGTTAAGGGCGTAGTTGGTGGGGGTCGGCAGAGGAGCCCTGAGATGGACTCGGTGTCCCGCCCTCTAGGATTTCCGTGTGGATGTGGTACACATGGATGGAAGCTCACTGGAGTTCGACATGGTGGGGATTGATGCAGCGATCGCCAATGCTTTCCGGCGCATTTTATTGGCCGAGGTACTGGTGGGCATGGTGGTGAGGAGCGGCTTGTGTGTAAGGAACCATGCTAGTGATTCACTTGCCAAGTTTAGGAATCTCAAGATGACTCTCTTGCTTTTCCTGCAAACTTGGGCATTTCTCCTGGTGTTTTCCTTGGGTGGGGGTGGAGGGCGGGGTGAAGAGCCTGTTTGGATCTTTGCAGCAAGGCAACTCTTTCCCGGGGCAGGTGCCAACCATGGCTGTGGAGAAGGTACTGGTGTACAACAACACGTCCATTGTCCAGGATGAGATCCTCGCTCATCGGTTGGGGCTCATTCCCATTCATGCTGATCCGCGTCTTTTTGAGTATCGGAACCAAGGTGAGGGCTGGGGTTGAAAGTTTTGGCCTGCTCTAGAGTGAAGATCCAGTGAAGATCTCTGGCCTCAAAGCCAGCATTGGAACTCAGGAAAGCTATCTTTGGGCCCCAGGGGCTTGAATGAGAAATGAACCTCAGGGTCTCTAAGCCTCCTCTCGTTTTGTGCAGAGGATGAAGGAGGCACGGAAATAGACACTCTGCAGTTTCGGCTGCAGGTCAGGTGCACACGGAACCCCAAAGCTGCTAAAGACTCCTCTGACCCCAATGAACTCTATGTGAACCACAAAGGTGAGCAGTGGGAAGGGGAAGAGAGCATGCATGCTGCCTGGGTGGAGCAGGCAAGAGGTTCTAGGGGTGGCCATCTTCTTCCAGTGTACACCAGGCACATGACATGGGTGCCCCTGGGGAACCAGGCTGACATCTTCCCAGAGGGCACTATCCGGCCAGTGCACGACGACATTCTCATTGCTCAGCTGCGGCCGGGCCAGGAGATTGACCTGCTCATGCACTGTGTCAAAGGCATTGGTGAGAACCCTGTGGGCTGCCCTGGCTGGCAGGGGAGGGGTGGTTTGATTGCATTGGGCTAAGGTGTGACTCGGGTTCAGTGGAGGTGACCCTGCCCAGCTTGCCCTTTGGCTGTCAGGAGTCTGTTCCCACAAGCATTTGATTCTATGCTCCCACCCCCAGGCAAAGACCATGCCAAGTTTTCCCCTGTGGCCACAGCCAGTTACAGGCTCCTGCCCGACATCACCCTGTTGGCGCCGGTGGAAGGCGAGGCAGCCGAGGAGCTGAGGCGGTGCTTCTCACCTGGTGTTATCGAGGTGCAGGAAGTCCAAGGTATGGTGTATGGGCCAGGAGCTAAACATTGGGTGTTGTTTGCTCCAGTCAAGTATAACACGATGGCCTGTTGTCATTAGGTAAAAAGGTGGCCCGAGTTGCCAATCCCCGGCTGGACACCTTTAGCAGAGAAGTCTTCCGGAATGAAAAGCTGAAGAAGGTGGTCCGGCTGGCCCGGGTTCGGGATCATTACATCTGTGAGTCTTTGGGGTAACCAGGCAGAGGGTTCCGATAGCTATCGCTGCCTTTCACAGCTCACGTGAGATTTAGCATAACAGATTCAGGCAAGCCCTAACATCTGTTTTTGGCCCCCAGTTTCTGTGGAGTCCACAGGGGTGCTGCCACCAGATGTGCTGGTGAGCGAAGCCATCAAAGTCCTGATGGGGAAGTGCCGGCGGTTCTTGGATGAGCTCGATGCGGTTCAGATGGACTGAGGTTTGTTTGCGCTGGGCCAGGCTGAAAACTGGTTTTAACCTGCACCCAGTGCTGCTACACCAAGCCATTGGGACTGAAGGTCCTGGGTTTTCTGGGACAGTTCTAGCTTTATTTTCAATCAATACATTTTATTAAATGTGCCATGAAATAAATCATGCCTTTGTAAGGCCTTTCATGTAAATAAACTCACGTTTAAAGAAAAATCCTTTTTGTCAGCACCCTGGATTTTGGCTCAAAGATAAACGAGGTCTCAGATGTCAGAATCAGTGTGTCTTGAGAAGTGCCAGATTGGGGTGCGTTTCTGGGACTCAGCTGGACACTGGGAAGATCTTGAAGGAACCAGTGTGACTCTACCTATTCTCTGGACTATTTGGGAATGGGGAGAGTTCTGGACAGAACAAGGTGGTCAGTAGCTACTTGAAAGGAATGGCAGTTCCCTGGAGCAACAGTTGGTAGGGGCCTGGCCTAGCACCCACCTGCTAGACCAGTGGTTCTCAACCTACCTAATGCCACAACCCTTTAATACAGCTCCTCGTGTTGTGGTGACCCCCCAATCATAAAATCATTTTTGGTGCTACTTCATCACTGTCATTTTGCTACTCTTGTGAATTGGGCAACCCCTGTGAAAGGGTCGTTTGACCCCCAAAGAGGTTGAGGCCCGCTGTGCTAGATGCTGAGAATGGAGGGTCCAGGGACAGGGAAGAGTGATCTAGAGTCATCTGGCTGCTGGCCCGCAGCCTTTGGCTGGATGCCGATGAGCAAGGGCCCTGAAATACATAACTGAAGCCAAGACAGGAAGAAGAAGGCAGAGGGGCCCCTTCTATATAAAACTGAGAATTTTACTGACATGCAGATGTGCTTTAGAGTTAATGTTTCTACAAAAAAAATCTATAAACAATAGAAAACTTCTAGCGTGAAGTCACAGGATGTTAAAAATATTACAACAATAAATACAACTATGCCTTCCAAGGCCCGGCCCCGCATCAGGCGGCTGTCAAGTTTGCAGGGGGACTACCTCCACACAGCACGCCAGGGCGCCGACGGTAGGGGGGCAGGGACGACATGAGACCGCACGGAAAGGAAAGTGCCCACCCTTGGAAGCCCCCTGCCAGTGGATGGCAGGCTTTGTTTCCACGTAGAGCATGGGCGTGACATCACTTCAGCACTAGGATCTTGCGGCCACTTTACCTCTACAGGTCGCCTTCCAGTGCCCTTCAGAATGGACTGGAGACTCAGGGCAGGTGGTGTTGGGCAATAGGCTCTTGGTGTTGGGCAATAGGATGAGTGACCAGGGACCTGAAAGACCGTGCAATTTTTGAAGGCACCTGGACTCACCTAGGAGAGACCAGTGGCTTTGTCAGCTACTCGTCACAGATGTAGCATAGTTGGTCTGGATCCTCCTTGATGGTGTCATGAGACACTACATAGGGTGCTGTGGCTCTTGTGCCTGAGTGGACGCAGGGCTCACTGGTTGAAGGGCAAGATGTGAGAGCTCTAAGCCCTGGCTGTGGAGGTGCTAGGCTTGGTACCGTGCTCAGGGCTTAGTAGTAGTTGCCTGTATCACGGATCCCATTAGAGGGCCAGATACTTGCTCTGAAGAAAATGAGTGCTGGCCAAATTCATTTCGGCACTTGACATCTGACCCAGACATGCCACAGTGGGCAAGGGGGCTCGGGGGTTCCAGTGACCCAGCAGAAACCCTGGCTGTAAGCACTGGTCTCAGTGTTGGGTCCAGCACCCTGCACGGGTGGGAGGGCCTGGGGAGAAGGGCTGCTCTGCCCCAACTTCTCCCTCGGAGACACCTAGAAGATCCAGCCCGGATGGCAGAGGCCCTCCTTCCCTCTCTTTCTCGGACTCTGTTGTCCCAGCTTCTGGCCCACACGAGGGCCCGTTCTCGCAGCTCCACACCTGGATCACCCTCCAGGTGGGCAATGGGGGAAGCAGGTGGCAGTGGAGGGGGACCTAGAATAGCTAAGAGGAGAAGGAAGAGATGACGAGGAAGGCTGCCCAGAAGCTTGACTCAGGGCTCAAAGATGGTGGCCAGGACGCTCTCATTTTCCAGCACGTCTGCCTCCAGCATTGGCTTCGTCTTCTTGAAAAGTGAGGGCAGGTTCTTAATGTGGACTTCTTTCCGAAACTGCTCCCCCAAGGGCTTCTGTGGATCACACACGAGAAGAAACTAAAGGTGGGCCCTGGCCAATGCCAACAGCAGGCTTCTCTGCTCACCGCACCCCCCCCCCCCCATGGACGCACTGGGGAAGACCTACCCCGATGCAGCCAGCAATGAGGTGCTTGAATTGGTCCTTGAGGCGCTTGAATTGGTCCTTCCGGCGCTTGTCAGGCACTTTCTGCAGGGAGGGGTTCAAAAGCTTGCAGTCAAACTGGTCCAGAGAGTCCTTCTGCATTTCGGGGATCTGCTCCATCACCGCGCGTATCTCCAGGTATCTCGGGCGCTGACAAGCGGGGACAAACGGTTGCTGATCGGAGCCTGACCACCATCTCGATTCCTCCAACTGGCCAAGCCCAAACCCACTGCTCCATCGGGGTCCGTGACTAACTCTATGGGAGCAGAGAGCTGGGTCTGAACTGCCAACTCGGCAGTGAGCAGCCCCGTGCTTAACCCACAGTGCCGCCCGCCCAGGCTCTCTGCAGAAGGTAGGGAGAGGTCCAACTGACTGGGAGCGCATGTGACCGCTCACCAGCGCCTCGTAGATCTGGAAGGCCAGGTGGACCAGGGAAGCCATGCACCCGTCATGCTGGCCGTGGATCTGCAGGCCCCTGAGCACGCTGGTGAAGAGCCACGTGACTGCATCTGCTAGCAGGGTCCCTGTCAGCACCTGGGAAGAGCACATGCTCAGGGACAAGGGGGACTCACACAGCCCTAGGAGCACATCGACCGCCCCCGCCACAGTCCTTCCCTCGGGCTGGGAAGGGAAGGGACGATGAGCCCTACTTGTTTGAGGAGAGGCCAGCAGAGCTGCGTGGTCGTCCTCTGGCAGGACAGAGTATCCTTCCAGGCCAGGGAATTGAAGGCAGTGATCAATAGCGCCGTACAGACCTCCTGAGCATGAAAGGATGGGGTGGGGAAGAGGTTAAGTACAACCATCTATCCTTGCCTGCAGGAGGTGAATACCGCCACTGAAGAGAAGCCACTTTATTTTTCTATTTCTGTATAGCAGTTAGCCAACCCCCCACCCAAACCCACCAGCAAGCCACTTCTCAAAGGAACATCAGGTCAGGGTGTGGGGACTTGTGCTTCTGCGGTTTTCATTCTGAGTCTTTGGCCAAGGTCCTGCATTTCCCCTGCTGTCCGAGTCCTTTGTGAAACAGCCTACCTCCAATGTAGGAATGGTACCCAACCACTGGGGGCGCAGTGACTCACCTCATGCTTCATCAGACACTTGCCCAGGTCTGTGAGCTCTGCCGTGGCCGAGGGGGTCACCTCTGTGGCCATCATCTCTTCATCTGTAGGCAGAGGGCAAAATGGTAAGTTCCCACCTCTGAGGACCGAGACAAGGACAGAGGCGGTGGAAGTCTGAATTGCAAAGAACAATTGGAATCTCCTGCACTGACAGGGTCTGCGTGGTCCTGGGATTTGCCAGGAGAGGTTATGGGAGAGACTAGGACGCAGTTGTGAGAAATAAGATGTAGTGGGAATAACCCAAAGAGGATCTTATTCCTTGAACAAATAGTTGTTTTTTCCTGATGGGAGTTGACATCCTAGTCAGGAAGACCTAATGAACGAGCATGTCAACAAAATGCGGGGTAGCGGTAAGTGCGGGGCGCCACACCTGCTGCTCTTGAGAAGGTGGTCATGGGAACCTTTGCAGAGGCCACAGGAAGCAAGGGAAGGGAACCCGACGGGGACCAGGACAGAGACAGCCGCTCATGCGGCTTCTCACCCGCACCAGACGACCAGAGTGAGAGCTCCCACAAACACTGGCCTGCATATACGAGGAACAATACTTAGAACCAGGCCTCCCACAGCCAGGCAGCCCACTCACTCACCATCTCCATCTGCAGCGGGGACAGCTGTGTGGTCCGCACCTTTCTTGGAAACACAGCAAACAGCTAGAGCAAGAGAGCGGCATTACTGTAAGGGGAGGTCTCTGGGCAGGTGAGGGAGGAAGGAGGTGTACTATCTAGATACAAAGCCAGCTCCAGAATGAGGAGAAGGATGTGCTTGGTCAGACTGCATTCTGGACCCTCCGCAAATTCAATGAACTGAGGGGAATTGACAGAATTCTCGGGCGAGCAAGCAAGCAAGCGAGCAAGCCTGATACAAAACCCACCCCTCCTACTGTGGATTTTAAACAGATTCAAGGCCCAGTAAGGTTTCCTTCAACATTTGGCAATCTTTGGCAAAGGCCAGATTTTTCCTAACCTCTCTCCCAACGTCTGCTATTTCACACCATTTCCTCCTACATGTCAACAAATAGAATATAAACACTCAATTCAACTCACAATTCAGAGCCCACCCCTAGGCTGGCGTGAGGCCCACCTTATCTCTCTAGTGGACTGCTGGTTATCACTACCAGGACGGCTGCACGCAGGCATCCCTGCCTGTGTCATGGGGCTGGCGGGCAGGCCGGGACAGGTGAGCTCTCGCCTTCCAGGAGCATTCTCTCTATGTCCCGCCCCCACGTGTCACTTACTGATGAGATCCATGACCTCTCGGGTTAGCATCCTCACCAGCTGCTCCTCCAACATCTCTTGAGACTCGGGGTTTTCATCTGCAGCCTCATCTTCTCCACTGCACAGAAGCAGGGGGCCCGTTTCCAGAGAGCGTGGGAAGGGGTGGGCAAGGAGAGCAGCGACCATCACCAGACCCCTGCACCCACCACCTCCTGGGCTGCGTTCTACAGGATGGGCAATGATGACCCACTGAGACCCCCGGGAGCTTGTCCCAGAACCACAGAGCTCTGTAGTCGGGAGCCTGGCCTGCACTGAAGACTCTGGGCTTGCTATGAAGGCCCTCTGGCGGGCTGCCTCCTGCCACTGCCTGCCTGCCTCCCCAACTCGAGAGAAGCAAGGTTTTTCTTACCACAGCAAGCTCCTCTGGTTGATGACTTGCCATTTCTGGGACAGCCGCTGGGGGGGAGAGAAGTTTTAAGTGCTAGAACTGGGGAGCATTGAAGCAGACCAAAGAGTAGAGGGGCCTGTTTCACGGCTGAAATGAACCCATGACGGAGCCTGGCCAGACCCCTCAAAGCCAGACACCGTTCTGCAACCTCCACCACTGCCAGACGAGGGCGGCATTGTACACATCGCACACCCACCTGGCCCACCCAGTTCCAGACCCAGGGGCGCACTCCTCAGATCACCAGCCCCTCAGATCACCAGCCCCCTCTCCTTCACTTAGGAGAGAGGTTAGGGAGGTGCAGAATCAGAGCCTGAAGGCAGGTGCTTCAAGAGCAACGGAACTAGCTTATTTCTGCAGGGGCTGCACAGCCCACTGTGACCTTGTTAGTAGAGCAGAGCTGCCCAGGCAGGGTTGGAGAGAGCACTTCCAGGGAACCCTGCCCCCAGAAATACTGCCAGCTCTCCTCCCCTTACCATGTGCAGGTAAGTAAAGAGAGGGCCAAGGATGGGCGACACCAGGGCTTCACAGAACTCCGGGGGGCAGCAGAGCACCAGAGGCTTCACGAAGACGCATGGCGCAGCAGGTTAAGGAGCCTGAGCGCACGTTCACAGTCCCCTCCTCCTAAAAAGCACCCCTGACAGGATGGAGACAGTCCGGTGGCACGCTACTGCATGCACCCGTTGGCACTCAGCCCCCAAAGGACTTGAAAGACGCCAAGAACATCCTGGATCAGTAGGGGGAAATCTTCAAGCTCTTTCCCTGAGATCCTAAGCTGCGTGGTTACTCAAGATATATTTGATTCGATGATGGTCCCTTTTAACAGGCAGCACAGACACGAGCAAGCACTGGCTGCCCCAAAGCAGGGAGGTAAGGACAGGAGCGCCACCCCTGTGATGAGCCTGCCAATGCACCAGCCTCCTCGGATCTGTGCTTCAGGGAAAAAAGACTCTCAAAGAGTTAAACAAACCATAGAGACGAGCCAGTCAGGGTGCGGTGTAGCACCAACAAAACACACAACTTTCCCTAGTTCTTCCATGTACCTCCCCCACCATCATGACCCCAACCCTACTTTACACATCCGGCTAGACCAGAGGATGTGCACGGGTACAGATCAGAGCTGGACACACAGGGAATCCAGGACAGATCAACCCCTCAGGACCAATAATGAGAGTAGTGACACTGGGAGGGTAAGGGGAAGGTGGGGGGAGAAA